GTTAAATTAAAATTAAATAAACTAAACAAAAATAAAAGTAAAGTAAGTAGTTGGTTGTCGTACACTATACAACGAAGAGAGGACGACGACGCGAACGAAGACGACGTCTCTCTCTCTCTCTCTCTCCTCCTCTCTCTCTCTCTCTCTCTCTCTCTCAGAGTAGGGGTGGCAATGAACCCAGACCCAACCTAGGATCCACCTGGGTATACCTGACACGGGTCTCAGTATGGGTCCAACATTTGGACCACCCGGTGGGTCGAGGTCGGGTCCGGGTCCAAAACCTCGACCCAAACACTATTTTGGTCCGGATCCGGGTCCGGTTGGATCCGACCCCATACTTATTCGTTTGGGTGTATTAAAGATCGTATACAATAAGAACTCGTAGTCATCTTTAGTTATTAAACGACAAATCAGATGGCTTGAAATCTAATGGCAGGTGATTATGACCTTGTTGCTAATAATATGGGTATATGATGGTAAAAAAAGGGCACAAAAAAAAAAAAACTCATAGTGGGTTTGTCATTAGACCCACCGGTTACGGGTATGGGTCCAACTTTTGGACCCGACGGGTCGGATCCTGGTCCAAAACCTGGACCCGAATACTATTTGGGTTTGGGTCCAAGTCCAGCCGTACTCGACCCGTTGCCACCCCTATCTCAGAGGAGCTCTCCCTCTTTCTCTTTACCAATTACTTTGTTAATAGCTCTCTCTCTCTCTCTCTCTCTCTCAATCACTCTATGTGGGTTTGGAATAGGAAAAACCAAAAAAAAGGTACTCTTTTCATGGTAGATATTAGAGAGAGATTGGCGATGGACGGGAGACCATTGGTTCAAGGTTGCAACTTTTAACTAAGGATCTTTGAAATGTAGATGAAAGGAGTTTGTTAGAAAGTAAATAAGTTTTAAAAGGTGAAATGAGGAGATTTTCTAGAGAGATAAAAAGGGTACCCCCTTCTATTTTCCAAATTTTTCTTGGTACGTGCCCCCAACTCAAGGCTACTCAGCATCGCCAATAGGGAGAGGCCAAGTTACTCGCCCGAGGCCGAGTGGACTCGAGTGAGTCACACTGGTCTTAAGCCTTGCAAAGCTTGAAGCCCAATCAATATGGAGGCTTACCAGCAGTGGACCTGGTTATCAATAGCTCATAGAAGTTCACAATTGAATTGACAAAGCCTCTTAGCCTACATCATCCACTGCAAAGAAGACAAGAACAAGTTCCACTGCAGAGACAATTAAAGCAAAAACACTCACCAAAGCCTGCTATCAATATGACATGTTCTAAAATTTATAGGGATAGTTCGTTCCATTTTCAAGCCCGCAACATGAGAGCTTTCTGCGAATGATTCAACAGCAAAGAAATCATGGATGAGGTAGCGACATTTCAGATGATTGTCAGAATGAGCTTTAAACTCATTGATATATATATACATATAAGATGTAGACCCATTAACCTTGTAGAGAAGACCAGATTCAAACATAGAGTCACTAGGTCCTTCCACAGTAGAATTTTGAATACGGCAAATAACCATGGAGGGAGAGGTTACAGATAGCGTTTAGAGAAACAGTACCAACACCCAACACCCATTCACATACCAATATACATAATAGTCAGGCCAAACCGTAATGGAAGAGAGAAAAGAAGAAAGGAAAAAGGAAATATAGAAGAGAAAGATGAGTAGATTCTTTCTTTTCATGATTAGACGAATAAAATTCTAATCCATTGAAATATTAGGCATCATACTTTCTAGTTTTTCCCACTACATCATTCATGCAGGAGCAAGGAACTCTGGCACATCTGTCACCCAGTGAAAGCAGTCAAGATGAGTAGTCCAAGAACTGAATATAATAGAACTGGCATGAAGGAAGAAAACATGATAAGTGTGCTAGGTAATTGGATATTATAGACCGTGAAGCATACACAACTTTGGGAGATCTATTCTATTGAGATCCAAACATAGCAAATCCTGGATTTTTAGGCCAATGATTCGTGGTTAAGGAATCATCATCTATGATTGAACACAGCAAGTCCTGGATTTTTAGGCCAATGATCGTGGTTGAGGGGTCATCATCTATGATTCTGTAAAATCCATTGACACGGATTTCCATGGGAGCAAAAAAGTAAATGCAGGTTCACTATTCCTTTTCTTTTTTCTTTTCTTTCTCCTCATGAGGACTCCTTTGGATTAGGGATAGCAGAACTGACTCCAATCAAAGTATAGCACTTAATTTTTCTAAATTATCCATTTGCATAGGAAGAACCAAAAAATAGATTGAAAGAAATCAAAATTCATGCAATAGTTATTCAAGATTAATGTGATAATTCAAAGGGTTTGAATGTAAAAGTGAACATACCTCAATATCTGAAGCATTAAAACGCACAATCACACTAGGAAAAACGACACAAACTTCAGCTGAAGAGTGATCTTGATGAAAACCTTGCCTATGTGTACTTCTTAGTTTAATAATCCGCTCGGGGTATAACATCTGTTTGCAGAAAAACGTTGTGAGTTGTCTCAAAAGCTAGAAAGAAAAAAAATCAGGAACCAAGAAATGGAAAGACTCATTAGCAGCAACTGTGAAACAAACATAATTTCAAAGAACTATTTTAAATAATGATCGAGGTAAATTATCTAAATCAGGAGAAAAAGAATCAATCATTGAAATACAATGACACTTCTAAGTGCAACACTAACAAACTAGCTTATCAACGCTTGCTTTATACATAAAACAAAAATTCATAAAAAAGAAGATAAGAAAACATGCAAAAGCATAGAGAAAGAAGTTTAGCGGAAGCAAAGATGATTGAAAGAACTAGAACGAAAATGCATAACATTTTTATTTTCTCAAAAAAAGAGTGTAGAATATATTTCTTCAAGATTTTAGGGGAAAAAATAATAATAATGTAGCATTCATTACAAAACGCATATATGAATATTCTTACCATTACAAGAAAACTCAATTCAACATGGGCTTCATATGAAAGACCACATAATTAAACAAATGATTAAGACTCAGCATCAAAAGCACTACATGAATCTGCAACAAAGTAGTCCAAGCAATTTGGATGAAATCCAGTTCTGATAAACGGAAACAACGAAATCCAGTTCAGATAAAAGGAAACAAAAAGGCCAGCATTTTTACCAATAATCCACATTAAAAAAATACCACAAACTAAATCCGATAACTGCATTTGGAGACATGATAAAACCAACATTAGAGACATATGGAGCCCAAAAAGCGGCTAAACAAGGAGAGAAGAGAAAGAGGGCTCAAACCTGTTTGTGAATCAATTCAGAGGCCAACGAATAAAGTAGCAGGTACCCCTGAGATGTTGCTAGGGCTAATACGCGATGATCATCAAAGATCAACCACTCAATCGCGCTTATCTTGCCTTCATGTGACAAGAAAGAAGGCCGAATTGTTATGGGCCTTGAATCATCAATCCAACCAAGCACCAAAACCAGGTTTTCGTTAGCAAGGGCAAGCGAATTCGAATCAAGAGCATGGTAGAGGTTAGGGCTATCGAGCCATCCTTCTTTACCGGCCCCTAGTTGTTCAAGTTCCTCGCAGACTATGCAGCCGAGTTCAGTCAAATGAGCTCTCCTCCCCATTAACAGCCACAGCAACTCATCTCAGGAATGGCACAGAGAGAGCAAAAATTGTCGGGATCGCAGAGAGAGAAGATAGAAAATGGTTGAATTAAGCAATCAAGTAGAGGAATGATGAGAGGAAGTGAAAAGTCGATCTCGTAGAGAGAGAAAGGTGAGAGAGAGTGTGAATCCGAGATCAGGGGAAAGCCGGTGAACAAATCCTCTCGCTAAGATTTCACCGCGATAAAGTATGATTCCTACTTTGATCAAAGCTTCGTATCAAATCCATGCCCGGAAAGCACTTTCAGAAACAGAAATATCTGTGATGGATCTAACATCATTTTTGAACGATAAGAATCAAATTCGAAGCTCAAAATAGTATGCGGATCTTGTGGATCTATAAACACCTATTTTTAATTTAATTGGATAGTCAAGATAATTTGTTACCATATATACGCTTAAATTTTATTTTTTTTTTTCTCGCGACTATAATGTTCAATCAAAGATGATCCATCTAAGGCTCCTGAATTGCAATTTTCGATGCGTTATGAGGTTGATGCTCTACTTATTTTGACAGGTCGGCCGCCCTATCAAACCATTTGCACTATTGATAACCCGCTTCTAGGCATTATTCTTTTCGATACTTTTGATACCCAACATAAATATTGTAATCTTCTCGATACAAATAAGCCTTCAAATTGAAAATTTGAACTTTCTCAATATATATTTTAGGAGTAATGATTATACGAGACCCTTTCGCATTTATGTGTGTATTGGATTTCAAAGGATCGCTACTAAATTTAGCACATATCTCTAAAAAAGTTATCACATAGGTTTATGGCTTGATTTTTTAAAAAATATGTGTTAAATTTAATGATGATCATTTAAAGTCCTACACACATAGATGTGAGAGGATCTCATAGGATCATCACTTATATTTTAAATAGCAATGGATAAAAGAAATAGGTAATTTATGAATGGATCCAAAATAATTTTCTCGTAAAAAGTAGTCATCGTACAATCTATGGAGAGGCCCAAAGTAATCAAACTTTTTATTTTCATTTTACCTTAGTTAGAAAATCGAACTTTCGATTCATCCAAAATACAAAAACACTTATGGCATGTTTTATTTTCATTGTAACTCGGCCTTCTTTCATTTTTCAATTTTAATTTTTGGTCATATCAATATGAAAATTTGTGGGTGACTTCGCCTCGTTAGGGCTTATCTAAAAAAAAAATATCGTTAGGGCTTATTTATAAAAACAAGAAATATCGTTAGGGCTTATCTATAAAAATAATATATATATATATATATATATATCAAAATGATTTGCCATTTTAGGAGTATTTGGGTCATTTTCTTTTTTCAAATTATTTTATATGTACTTTTTACAGGTGCATGTGGGTGAGAAACATAGATAACCCAATTTTCAGCTTTGTCTAACCTACCAAAAAAATAAAATTGAAATACACAATCATGCTTTCAAAATTAACTCTTTTTGCAGATCTCCAAGTGTAGAAATTTATAGGTTTATCAAACACAAGTTTCAACAATTCCTTAGAATACCAAACAATTTATCCAATACAATATTTTCTAGATTGAGATGTCAAATCTTCTAGCTTGTAGACTCCAAAACTTCCCAATTTCGAAAATACATTTGCCAAACGGTCGTGTGTTTTGGCTAATTTGAATATGCAACTTTCGAACCACCTAATCACTTTGTTGTTTTTTGTGTTATTGGCGGTTCAAAATTTAGTCTTTTAAACTAGGGGCATATTAAGAATAAAAAATACTTAAAAATTTTAGACTTCACTGTGAAATAACCAAAAATATAGACCACTTTTAATTTCAAATTTTATTTTAGGACCTTGCATAAATTTCCTGGAAAAATTAAGCTTCAAAAATAGAATTTGTAACACATATTTGGATTATCTATTTTATAGTGCTTGTAGATCTCTTAATTCCGGACCATTTTTTGAACTTTCAATTCCACATTAGTACAGAAATGATCTTCTAGGCATCATGCTTTTGGGCACCTAAATTTTATTTTTCTAACACAGTTTCGTGGTGTAATTTTACCTTTTAGGTATAATGTGAAAATTCTTATGTTTTTAGAGTATTTAAACAAAGAAAATTTTTTCATGCGGGGTGAACCGCATGACTACATATGCAGTTCAAAAATTGTAAAAGATCCATCTTAAAGATAGATGCAAGTAGGTGTTCCATCTAAAAACAGTTGAAGCTAAAGGTCCAAATGTTTCTTACGAGAATTATTATTTCTATTTTTAAAAATTTACAAAATGTTTCTTACGAGAATTATTATTTCTATTTTTACTTTTTTTTATATATTCATGGTCTCCATGTTAGAGATTACATGTCCTTAAAAATTATTCCAAAAATCCATCTCAAAAATAGATTTATAAAAGGCCTGCATTTCTACATATGCGGGTTTGGCCGCATAGAACCGAGTCCTTTAAGCAATGTCCCCAAAATTTTTAATTTTCCCCAAAAATCCATTTGCTCAGAAGCGACAGTTTTCAACCAGCTTGTTGGTTATCTTTCCTTGTTCTAGGTTTGGAACTAAATCTTGTTTTCATTAAAATTTTGGTTAAGAAAGTTCTGAACTGAAATTTTAACCAAAAATCTTGTTTAGAAGTCTTTTTTTTCAGTTAACTTTCTGTCTAGAACTTAAAGTTTAACCAAAAAACCTGATTGAATTGCCGAGGTTTGGTGTAGATATAGAAGATAAAAACTTATACATATGATGTAGAAGATAAAAACCAAGGTTTGGAAGACATAAGGAAAAGAAAAATAGTGCAGAAAAATAAAATAATAAAGACACAAAGATTTATGTTCGGCAAGGTGCCTACGTCCATGGGTAGCATAAATTCTCTTCCACTAATTAAAAAAACATTATGTAAGCATGGAGAGTATAAGGGACTATAAGCTCTCTCTCTCAAACCCTAAAACAAGGTATTTCTCTCACTAGAATACCCATTCAAAAGGACTAAAGAACTAACCATTTTCTCTCTAGATTTTTCCTTGCATAATTTCCATGTGTTTTATTCTATCTTTATACATCTTATATAACCCAAGAGGGTCACGTCAGCCTCTCTCATCCCTTTGCTAATTGGACTAGATTTTCTAATGGGATTTAGTTTCCTAGACAATAGAATTTTATTTCCTATAAAATAGGGAGTCTACAAGATAGGATTTGTCTTACCATAGGATGTAATGTGATCTCTCCAACCCAAAAGTTTCACAGCCCATAGAAATAGGATATAGTTTCCTATAGAATACGACCACATAAAAGATCATGTAGCTTCCCTAATAATTAGGAACTCATATAAACTAGGAAATATGATTTCATCGCCAACATTCTCCCACTTGAAGACATATTTCCATTTTAACTTGTCTACTCCAAGAAATTTCTGCCCATCAGTTACTAATCATCAAGTAACCATAAGCCGCAAGGAAGTTCTGGACTAAGTGAACTTCCCCTTCTGTATGGGCTTAATCAACATATCTACTAGATTGTCATTAGTATGAATTTTCTGCAATAAAGTTTTAAATCTTCTACCACATCACGAATAAAGTGATAATAAACATCAATATGTTTAGTCTTGACATGGAAAGTTGTATTCTTTGTTAAAAACAAGACACTTTGGTTATCACAATGAAGCGGTATACCTTCTTGCACAACTCGAAACTCACCAAGTAACTTGTTTAGCCAAATTGCTTCTTTAGATGCATGAATAAATAACATATACTCAGCCTTTGTAGAAGACAACACCACTACAGACTACAACCTTGATAAGCAACTAACTACACCACCTCTCAAAGAAAAAACATATATGGTAGTAGACCTTCTTTTATCCAAGTCACTTGCAAGTCAGCATCGACATAACCAGTTACTTTCAAACCTATTCTATTGTAACAAATACCAGCATCACAAGTTCCCTTCAAATATTGAAAGATCCATTTCACAGTAGGCCAGTGATCATGGCTAGGATTTGTTATATATCTGCTCACAACTCCCACTGCTTGTGCTATGTCAAGTCTGGTGCTAACCATAACAAACATGAGGCTCCTTATTGCTGATGAATACGGTCCTCGAGACATCTGTATCTTTTGTACTTCGGTGCTAAGACATTATTCGAAGACAACTTCATATGCATAGGAAATGAGGTACTAACTGGTTTGACATTTTGCATATTCAAGCGCCACATAACCCTCTTCACGTAACTCTTCTGAGTTAACCAGATTTTTCTGTTCTTCCTCTCTCTAAGTACACTCATCCCAAGAATTCAATTAACGACTCTCAATTCTTTCATTTCAAATTCCCTAGCCAACTGAGCCTTAGGTGTTGTAATATTATCATTGTTTGGTCCTGCAACAACCATGTCATCGATATATAATAACAAGATAATAAAGCTTCCACCATCATATCCACGAAATAGGTACAATGGTTAGCTTCACATCTATGAAAATTCAAGCTCAACAAGAAAGATTTGTGCCAACACCTCGGCGTCCGTTTCAACCCGTACAATGATTTCTTGAGCCTACAAACTAAATTATCTTTACTTTCCTTAATAAACTCTCAGGTTGGGTCGTATAAATTTATTTTTTTAGTTTTCACATCTAATTGTTCTAACTCTAAATCAAGAACAGCAGCCATAGCCAAAACAGCTCTAACAAGGGACGTGTGCACAACAGTAGAAAACAATCTTATCAAAATCAATACCTGATTTCTAAGCATAACGTTTATTACAACGAAATATTGACTTTGTCAAGTCATCCGAGAAAAGTTATTCAGGACTTTGTCAAAGTTGTTGTAAATATTTTATTTGAATTCCCTTCTTCTATGAGATTCTATGTACACGCTTGTCTATTTATACCTATTTATACGTTTCTTCTCTAATAAGGTATGGTTTTTGGGTTGTATCTAAAACCCATGCATCAGACAACGCCCGTCTGCCGTCATTCCCACTGACAGCCACAAGGTACCGCTGAAATACCATAACCATTGCGTGGCCATAACAGGGTCCTGGACTTGGCCCTTGAACCCCCACCTTGTTCCACCGAGATTTGGCACTTGTGATATCGAGCACATAAAGATCATCAGTGGAATGCCCTGTTGGCTCTATCCCTCCCTGATCACTCGCTGATCCTTAATCCTGTGCCATCTCACCCATCAGCACCAACTCCCTAATCATGTGCCATCTCCGCCCCTTCCTCCTCCCTGCCATCCCCATTTTCACCTCCACCATCAACGATAGTCCAGCCCCCATCTCACCAGCCCTCTCTCAGTTGTCCACCAACCTGCTACCCCCTCTGCTACCTCCCACTTTCTCTCTCTACAAACAAAAAGCCCAACAACGACTCTTTCTCTCTCTGTTCTTCACTGCTCTTTTTCACCCACTGTTGTCACCACCTTCCCTCTCTTATCCTTTTTTTTCCGCCCACCACTAATGTCGAATGATCAAGTCAACAATGGTGCTTCTACGGGTTCTGTTGCAGAAAGTTCACCTTTCTTCCTCCACCACTCAGATAACCTCGGGATGGTGCTTGTTACACATCCCTTAACTGAGGACAACAACCCTCTCTGGA